TCTACTATCGTTGCATTTCTCGCACTAGGTATCAAGAACATGGCACCCCATGGCATTGTCATTTGTGTGTTCCAATGGAAGAATATTGTCACGAGGCGAAAAAAGAGGTAAGTTCTAGTAGATACTGTAAAGTGAAAGAAAGCGAAATTACTTGACGACTTCACAGAAAAAAATATTTTATTCCTTCTCAAGAAGTCTTTGCGACTTATCCACTTGGCCATTGAGCTTCCTAATGAAGTGTTTGATATAAAACATGTGATATTTCTTTATCTATTTTACAACTTTCTTTCGTAGCTGGGCGATGCTTATGTCAATAGTGTTTGCACTAAATATCAGAAAACTTTACAAAAATATAACGTGTATAAACAAAAACTAGTCACAACTGCGACAAATTTGCAAAGCATTTCATTCAATGTAAATGCTTATGAGAAAAATGGTTTTGGTCTTGTATGGATGACGCCTGATGCACGTATTGGCGTCTACAGTCAAAAGCCACAGAAATTACGTTTACTTTACGACTTTATGGTCGATGTTAAAGAACAGATGGAAAAAGATCTATTATCAAAAGATAAATCATTCAGAAATTTTGGTTGTCATTTCTGTCTCTTTGTAAGTGCTGAGAATCAAGCGCATACAACACCTCGCGCATCTGAGGTGTTGAATGAGACAGGGACAGATGTGAAAACTACAGAACTAGTTGGCTATATTCAAATGGATGATCAACAATATTATTGGTTATTACCAGATGAAAACCACCGACAAACGTGGTTCAATGATTTCAAACGACATGATTTTATTGTTACAACTTAAATTAAACTTATCTCATGCTACCTTTTGTTGCTTATTATAACAAATCTTTTATTTAATAAATTCCGACTTTTAACAAATCCATAGTACTAAAGTTTCAACTTGTTATAAATGTAGGTGTGGGTGATGAACGTTAGATAGTCACATGAACAACTACATCCACATATAGATATTTCATCTTAAATTTCATAAGTAAGATTAAATCAAAACTATAGACCTTTATAAAAGATTTTAAAAAGAAAAAAATATAAATAAATAAACGCAAATTGAAAAAAAATTCTATAATGTGTAAAAAAAAGTGAAACTAAAAAAAGATAAGTTGCATATGGGTGTGGGTGTGAGTGTAAGATAACAGCACAGACACTCACACCCTCACACACCCTCAAGTTGTGATTGAACTATCATATGAGTACCTGACATAAGAACAATTTCATCTTCAGTAACGAAATGTGAATGAGCTTTTACTGTTCGACCATTGATAGCTTCAACAGAAAAAAGTGTTCCATCACCTTCTTGACCCAAATACATATTATTTTCAAGTACAGTCATTTCAGTAGTACATGATGAAAATGCCCACCATGTCATAGCACTACCAGGTGGAAATTCTTCACTTAAATTTTTAGTTACTCCTCGCCAAACAGTTAATGGTGGAACACATGGTAATTTAATAAGAGCAGTTAAGAACAATTTGAGATACCTGTGAAAAGGTAGAAGTGCTTGCCGATCATTATTTTTAAGATTAAAATTAAGTGTTGAATAAAGACGAATTGCAGCATTTTCATCAATTGATAATCCATCAGGTGGTTGTTCAGGAGTTTCTTTTAATGATAATTGAACATAGAATGATAAATTATGAAAGATATCAGTTAATGGAGCACATGCTTGTGCAAGTGGTAGTAGAGGTTCTTCGGAATATCCTAGAATAGGACTTAGTTCTGTGCCATCACTTTTAATGATATCTTTATTAACATTTTTTGTATTTCGTCTATCTTGTTGATTAGATCTATTTCTGTCAGTATTAGAATCTTCTTATAATCTCACTGTTTGTCTTTCATCTGCTCCATCTAACTTATGTGCTGAATCATTCTTGACCTTGGCTCTTGGATTTATTGCCTGTTGACGTTCGTTCGTTACATTATCATCCAAGGTAATATCTGTAAATGCAGTTTGAATCTCAACATTTTTAGTTCATTTGTATCGTCGATAATTTTCTGTTTCATTATCGAGTTCGATAGCAGTTAATTCCGTTTATATACGAACATTTCTATTAAATTTAGGTTGTCAATAATTTATCTGTTCGTCATTGCTTGGAATTAATGTTTTCATCACATTATGTATGGGAACATTTCTGTTTGATATTGCTCGTTATTGTGAATAGTTGTTCATATTTCTTTACTTTTGAAATGAATATCGATAATCTATAACAGAGTAACACAAAACAAAATCATTATTTTTCTTACTTTGTAGGAAAATGATAAAATATTATATTTATATTATCAGTCGAATAATGCAGCTACTTAAATGTTTTTTTTACATGGTAATTATTACCGTTAGAGAATATTTAATGATGGTTGAAGTGAAAAATGAATAAATATTCGTAGTAGGTAATTAAGTAAAAAAATAAAAAAGTACGTTAAGAAAAAAGGGCATTTTTTTTTGTTTTTTTCTTATAATACAGTGATGAGTAAGCCTAGATAACGTCTATATTATAATGATAAAATCAACGTAATATATTATAACACATGCATGTATAGGTTGTGTTTTTATTGCCAAGCGTCAATGCACTTTGTCTTTAATTATAAGATAAAGGTAGATAAAGAAAAAAATATATATGAGAAGAAATTATTTGCAACGGAGCATATACATGTGCGCGAACGTAAAAGCTTGTATTCGTGGGTTTATTTTGTTTAGTTTTAGCTGCTTAATTATATATGATAAAACTTACTTCACTGCTTTCGTTCGTACGATAATGAAAAGACGTATTTTTCGTGTTATATTTTAACTATGCGTATATATGTATTGAGCCATCTAACGATTTATGTATTATATAGTCTCTAATAAAAAGATTGATTCACAATATAGAATTATGATGATTAATATCAGAATGAAGGCATAAAATTTCAGCAAACAAATTATAATAGACAAAGAAGAACGATAAATAATAATAGAAATCTACAAGCAACAACACTCGCTTCACGTTCGAATGAATAGTGAAAGCTATTGATATATAATATTTTATCTTGCTGGGTGTGGGTGTAGGTATGTTTGAGGAAGATAAATCCACGCTCTCAAGATTAAAAAATCAAAACTGAAAAGAAAAATAAATTCGAAATTTCATTTGTTTAATAAATCTTTTTTTGATCAATAAGAAAATTTATCAATAATTCCAAAAAATAAAATAAAAATTCTTTTCGAAAGATTTTATTAAAGAATTTTAATTAATAATAAAATGGTGAAGATAAATTGAATGATTATTCTATTTTATTGATAAAAAAAAGAAATAAATTCAAAATTTATCTCTAAATTAAACGATTATTTAACAAATTAATAAATATTTTTCATTCAAAGAAAATAACTCCAATGATTTTATAAAAATATTTTATCTTATTCTCAAAAAAAAACAGTATTTTCAAGTTGAATTCGTTAGCATCATCAGTTTAGTGCTCAACAGGCAAACAATTTAATAAAACGTGAATTAATTATTTTTTCTGATCGAATGAATTTCATTTCTTTGTTCAATAATTGTCAATTCATTGAAAAACAGTACATTTATTTATCTTAGAATTTTTGAAGATAAACAACTTATCAATATAATAATAAATGTGAATCAGTTCATTCACATATTTCGATTATTGTTTCTATGATTCTCCCAACTAAGGTCGAAAGTAAAAATGTCGAAGGAAAAAAAAGTCGAAATATGAAAATGGCAAGACTTTGGGTGCTCGAAACAATTTAAGGGGAAAAATAGAGAAAAACGCTTGAGGATGGGTGTAAATACAGACATTCATCTATATTTAGCCACTCCCATACCTACACCCTCAAGATGGTTAACTTGAATTCGATCAAAAGACTATATTCTTTCAGAATCAGCCGGAATCATCAAAATATTAGCAAAGAACAGATAATTTTAGGAAAGGAAAATACATCTGATTCCATATAGTAGAATCATTGGAATCATAATAATCAGTTGTTCCCCCTTTAATAATGTGTCTATCTCATGTTTTTTCGGCATTTTTGACTTTCGATCTTATTCAGGAGAATCCTTTTGGTTTATATCACGTGTTTCTTTGATTAAAATTTAGTAATATTTTATAGTAGATGTATTAATTCTAAAATATGATATTGTTCAAAATCAGATATTTACGATTGGAACTGTGTTTTATATATAGACGTACAGTGCAGATAAATATAAAATAACATCTGTTATAATTATGCTCATTTGCGTCACTACCTACGATTTTAATAAACAGTAAAGTTTTTTTAACAAGAAATATCTCTATATTTGATAGAATAACAAAAAAGTATGATGAAAGCCAAAACATTCTATTCATTATTGATTATAATATCATAAATTTAAAATGTCATGGTGAGAGGCAAATAAATAATCTGATCAATTAACTCGTTATATCATTATTTAGTCTCAGCGATATCACTGTGACTGTTAGTAAGAGAATCGAATCAAATTTATACTCCATTATAATTACTATAGATTCTGTTCATTTTATGATACAATCAATCTGAAAGAATAGCAGACTATTTTACATTATTAATTCTTGATCAACAGAGATCAAAAATAGCAAGACCATCAAAACTTTTCTATAAATATTATATCGTTAGAGAAAAATGAAAAGACTAAGTTCCGATTGATTGTGATGAGACGTCTTTCTTACGAAGTTCTACTTCGAATTGTCAATATGGAATAAGTAATAAAAATATCTTTCAATGGTTTTTATTTTCATCAAATTTGAATAAAAAGAACAAGAGCAAAACGAAAATCTTTTCACAAAAAAACTTCATTGATTTATGACAAAACAATTATTATATATTTATTTAAACTTTTATGAAAAAATATAACAAATCTTTTTAAACTTTAATTAAGAGAAATCAAATGAAAAAATTCGTTCACCAAAATTCTTTGAAATTAAAAAGTATCATTTCAAGAGTTTGATTTTATTTGGATTTCTTGGTGCATTTTTCCTTCGTAAGTTTTTTTTGTTTTCATCTATATAAAAATCTTTTTAATATTTGTTTTTTTCAATAAAATTCATTTTGAATTCAATTTTCATTTTTAAGTTATCATGAGAAGGTTCCTTTTCTGTTCATTTTCAAATAATTCTCAAATTTTATCAAATCAAAAAGCTAAGAATATTGAAATAGAATTCTATCAGACACAAAATTAGAGGGCTGCAGGGCAAGACATTTTAGCAACCTGTACCCTGCCCTTCTCAGATTTTGACAACCTGCAACCTGCCCTGCCCTGTAAATTTTTCGCGCACCCTGCCCTGCCCTGCCCTGTAAAAATTTTTGTAACCTTTAACCTGCCCTGCCCTGCTGTACATTATAAAAAACTCTAAACTTTCATATCAATTTGTTATACAATTTTATTTAATCCATTTCAAATCATAGAGTAAATAAATAAACAAAAACAAAATCACATATCTCGAAAATTTCAAATCATTAACGTATCATCTATAACATTTGGACTTAATGTTCTGTATAATTTTATAAAATATGTCGTTAGTATTCAGTGTGAAAAATTTATCACAGGTTGACAGGTTACGACACTTGCATCCTGCAACCTGCCCTGTAAAAATTTTCGTAACCTTGCCCTGCCCTGCCCTGCGGCCAGCTTAACCTGCCCTGTCCTGCCCTGGCCGGGCAGGGCAGGGCAGGGCAGGTTGGCTCAACCTGCAGGGCTCTACACAAAATCTTCTTCTCGAATAGTTTGCATTTAATTTAATTCACAGTACAAAATATTTTCTTTTTTTTTATCTTCCACAAAATTTAGTAAAAGATGAAGAATTTAACATTTATTTGTTTGTCTTTTTTAATCAAAATTATCAAATTAAATTCAATTTTCAACAAAAAAAATCTCAGAAGACTTTGCATCATTCTTTTATTCAATACAAAAAACTTTTTTTCTTTATTTCAAAATCAAAAATTTATTCACAAAACTATTTCAAATTTTTGAATTCGATTATTCCAACTATCAGCAACATAAAGATTTTCTTCATCATCAAATGATAAACCAGTAGGACCACTTAATTGATTTCCATGACCATTTCCGCCAATAACAATTTCACCTTCTCCTTTTCCTTCGTACCAACGCACTACTCGATCATTCCCATGATCTGCCACATAGATTTGACCCAAATCATCAACAATTACTCCTTCAGGATAATACAATTGATTGAGATTTCCTCCATAACCATTTCCTCCAGCCACAACTTTTCCTTCTTTTGCATCTTTTCTCCATTTCATCACACGATGATTGACCCAATCGGATACATAAACAGATTGATCTTCATCAACAAAGATAGAACGAGGATTATTGAGTTGATTGAGTTGATCTCCTTGTCCATTTCCACCTGCCACTACAATTCCTTCATTGTTATATTCCCCCATTTTCCATCGTCTCACTTCACCCTGAATCCAGTCAGAAACATAAAGAAATCCATGTTTATCCATTGCCAAGCCCCTACAGAAAATATTGTCAATGAGAATTTGTTGAGTTTGATTCATCCATTGAATCACTCGGCTGTTATTAAAATCAGCAATAATGATCGAATGATTTTGTCGATTAACAATCACATCACTTGGAAAAGACAATTGATCCATTCTATTTCCATTGCCACTCCCACCTGCAACGATTTGTCCTTTCTTTGCGTTATATTTCCATTTAACAATACGATGATTCCAACGATCAGCAATAAAAATACTTCTGTTTTTATCAATGAAGATTCCTTCGGGGCTATTGAGTTGATATAATTCTTGTCCTTTTTCATTTCCACCAGCCATAGTGATAGCATTTTGTTTCCATTTGTTGAATTTTGATTCTAGAAAATGATAAAAAGAAGAAAATTTGTTTTTGACCGAAGAAAAAGAAAAGATTAATTTTGAATAAAATGCTCATAAACATGTTAAATAAAAAGAGAAACTTGATTTGATTTTTTTGTTCAATTTTGAAAACAATTTGTTGACGAAAAACAAATCATTTGAAGTATTTTATTTGGAAAAAAAATAAAATGAAGAAATCTTTTGTTTTGAAAAGAATAAAGTATATAAATTGTATTTTTTGGAATGAAAATTTAGAAGAAAATGCATTTTTACTGAAAGATAGTTTAATTTTTAAAATGAAATAAATATTTCATTTGAAAAGAAAAGGAAGGAAAATAAAAATGATAAAAAGATTTTGTTGGTTTGTTTTTGTTAAATAAAGAGTGTGAGTGATTCTTCTAAAATATACACACCTCAAAATTCCGAAAAACAGAACTCAATTGCTGTTTTAGGAATATTATTTTTGGATGCTGAGTACTATTATTCTGTTTTCGAAATAGTACTTCTCATTCTGTAATAGATTTTTTCTGTATTTAATTAATAATTTTTTTGGACGACTATATTCGGACCCAACAAATATGTCAGTAACTACGTTTTCTTTTATAAAAAAAAGCTCTACCAATTATTGTTGTCGACGCATTGGTTGTAGTTGTAGTTTCATTAATTGTTATTTCGGCCTTTGTAATGTAAATAGAAATTGTTGTAATACCAATGATAGTTATTAGGCTAAGAACAGCAGTGGTAATTAATATCAATATTGTTTGCCGATGAAATAAAGATCTAAAATCATAGATATAGTTCAAATAAATAAATTAAATAATACTTACGATCCTGCTTGTAGACGAGTAGATTGTTTAATATTGTTCTTACTCACTGGTTCAGACTAAATATTGACAAGAATTATTTATACAGAATTCTTTAAAAAGTGTTGACTGTTCTCGTAACTAACCATTGAATTTGTTCAATTTGTTAATCTTTTCTTAAATAATAATGACGGAAATTAAATCTCTTTGGAAAATATTTTATTTTAAGAATGAATATAAAAATAATGATGAACGGATAAGAAAACGAAGAGAGAAGGAAGAACAATGACTGACTTTCTATCGCCAATGAGGCGAAACGGTCACGAAAGAAAGTAAACATGGAAACAAAGAAAGAGAGATGACCGATGTGTATGTACATACAAGAATATAGAAGAGATAGTGATGGCTGAAATTAGTCACACTCCCATGATCTTATTGAAATAAACTACTGAAACGATAAATCAGTTCTAGTCAGGGTAGCCAAATCTTCCAGGTTTTGAGAGTTCCTCTGGATTTTCCAATTTTCGGTTATTTTTCAAAAAACAACGTATTATTTAATATGTAAATGTATAGTTTATGGTTTATTATTTGTTACATTAACTATGTTTTTATATATTTATCATTGAACTTTATTTTGTAGAGATTTATATTAAGACTACTGATACTTTTATTGAAAAACTGAATTTTAAGGAATTAAAATAATCCCTAAAAGTTTCTCCGGATTTTCAAGTGTATCATCTAATAACCCTGTTTCTAGTTGATTTCAATCCCTAATATTCTTATTTTAAATTATTTCAAAAACTAAAACAATAGTTCTTCTAATCTAAATTATTTATTTTTTTCTATTATTGTCAAATAAAATCATTATATTTTCTTTTTATTAAGATTCCTATCAATCAAATTATTCTACAAATAGTACAGCGATTATATCAAAGAATCCAATAACAATATTATATAAAATGCCAGCTCAATCTCAAATAAAACAAGGTATGCTTCATTAAATAACAATAATAGTAATTCTGTCTACAGAATAGTTTCATCATCTTTCAGATTGAGATAGAACTGTCTCATAAATTATTTTTATTAATTAAGTAACAATTTCTCTTAAAACAATATTCATAATATGATCTTTACTATTTTTATACGACTTAATATAGTACTGAAAAGAGATTTCATCCATCGTTTTCGAATTATTTCTCCATTGAGAATGTTCTTAAATAAATATTTAAAAGAAAAGTTTCTATGAAGAGTAACAACGTTTTTCATTTACAATATTTTTTGAAGATTAATTTACAAGTAACGCTCGTCCGAGGACTACCTTAGCTCTTTCTCGTAAAAACGCATCCTCTTCACATTTACTGGAAAAACCGTGGAAAATAGGTCTTCGATGTTTTTTTTACCTATGCACCTTCTTTACCCTCCTCCTTCATCATGATCACCCACCAGACCTCAGATTCGAACTCCTAGTATCGCAAAACCTCTAGAAATGTCTTTTTCGAAAAAAACAGTTTTCGATGTTTTTTTTACCCTGCGGAGACACAATTAAGCAAACAACTTATGTTTACTGGACTCTTCTCTACGAGAAAGAGAATAAGGCCGCAATCACACTAAAAAAGATAATACGAATTAAGACTGAATTGACGAATAATTCACCTTTTTTAGACGATTTATCTCTTAATGCGCCAATTAAATAGCTTAATTCAACATTAAGTTAATTCGCTTTTTTGGTGTGGTTTCGGTCTAAGAATTAAATTTTTGTTTTCTAATTAAAATAAATATTTTTTCACAAATCAAAACAAATATTTATAGAATTGTTAGTTAATCAATTAGATTTATTTTGTTTTGCGTCATAGGAAAATATTTTCGAAGCTTTCTTTATATTATAATTAATTATTTAACAAAAAATCTCTTTCACAAATAATATCATCATTTCACCTATAGAAATTATTCGAAACATTTATCTATATTATAAATATTTTTTTCTAATTATAGAAATTTCAAATCATTTTCTTAATTATTTATTTTTATTTCGTCTTTTTTTCATGAAAATCAAATTTTCTGAGAATTTATAAAATTATTGGTCATACAAATATTTCTTCTCATTTGCGCCCTTCTTTGATTTAAAAATAATGAAAAAGATTTGAATAAAAAGAAAATCTTTTATTTTAGAAGAAGATCAAACAAAAAAGAATAAATACCAACAATTTGGAATTACTGTTGCTGGAGGAAATGGAAATAGAAATGGACAGGAATTAAATCAACTCTCTAGTCCTTATGGGATGTTTATTAATAATGATAAATCAATTTATATTGCTGATTGTTGGAATAATCGTATTGTTAAATGGGAATTGAATTCAAATACTGGTCAAATCATTGCAGGCGAAAATGGAAAAGAAAATCAAAATAATCAATTGGATGGTCCATCAGATATAATTTTTGATAAAAAAAATAATTCTTTTATTATTTCGGAATTTTTTAACCAACGAGTAATTCGATATTTTTATAAAAATCAAAAAAATCAACAAATTACTAATCGAAATACTTATCCTTTTGGTCTTGCAATCGATGAAAATGGATTTATTTATATTGCTGATATTCACAATCATGAAGTAAGACGATGGAAACAAGGAGATGGAATAGGTGAATTAGTTGCAGGTGGAAATGGTCAAGGAAATCATCTTAATCAACTCAATACTCCTACTTTTATTTTTATTGATGAAGATCATTCTCTTTGTATATCAGATCGTTATAATCATCGTGTAATGAAATGGAAAAAAGATGCCAAAGAAGGAATTATTGTTGCTGCTGGAAATGGTCAAGGAAATAGTCTCAATCAGTTGAGTCATCCTCAAGGAGTGGTTGTTGATCATATGGGTCAAATCTATGTGGCAGATCGTTATAATCATCGAGTAATGCGTTGGTGTGAAAGAGAAGAAGAAGGTGAAGTTGTTGTTGGTGGAAATGGTGAAGGAAATCAATCAAATCAATTGTTTGATCCCATGGGTTTATCATTCGATAATGAAGAAAATCTTTATGTTGCTGATAGTTGGAATGATCGAATTCAAAAATTTGAAATAATTTTGTGAATAAAATTTTGATTTTGAAATAAAGAAAAAAAGTTTTTTGTATTGAATACAAGAACGATGCAAAGTCTTCTGGGATTTTTTTCTTGAGAACTGAATTTAATTTAATAACTTTCATTAAAAAACTACAACAAATAAACGTTAAGGGTGTGGGCGGGTGTCGGTGTGGGTATATGTATGTTTGAGGAGGATAAACCCACACTCTCATCTCATACCCGCATCCACACCCTTAAATGTGATGGAAGAAACTGATTAAAATGACTTAATCTTTACAAAAAATAAAAATAGAGAAAAAAAAACAAGCTTTAATATTATACATAATAAGTTTTAAAATAAAATTCTTCTAATTTAACAATATAGTCGTGGGTAAAATATAAACAAAGCATTATTTGTACACCGATAAAATATTTTGATATCATATGAAAAAAGGACAAACTAAAAACAGATTTTTCAAGTTCGACAACGACTCATAATGATGTTGTTGAACATTTTATTGTCGTTTGATTAAATTTCAATATTAATTCAATAAAAAATTTACCGCATCATGAATAAATGTATTGTTTTTGGTTTTTCTGAAGAACAGATCGCATATATTCTAGAGAATTTATTTTATCTTTATTCTATTTATGTATTTTAAATGTTCAAACAGGTTTTTATTTTTTTAATAGTTTTCTGTCGATAATATTTGAATGAATCATATACAATCGATGCAGTGTGGGACCTAAAACTATTTTTCAAAAAGTTGATAGTTGACAAAATTGGCAAAAAGTTAAAACAGTTATAACTAGAGTTATAACTATCAACCGCAGTTGTAACTATCAACCGTAGTTATAACTATCAACCGCAGTTATAACCTTCAACCGGAGTTATAACTATCAACTGTAGTTATAACTATCAACCGCAGTTATAACGTTCAACCGCAGTTATAACTATCAACTGTAGTTATAACCTTTAAACAGAGTTATAACTGTCAACCGTAGTTATAACTAGCAACTTTTTTCAAATGTGAACCTGCTAAATCCTTTAATCATGTGAAAGATCGATTAGTAATGTCCTCCTGCCTTTCTTCTTTTTTCTTAATGTAAATTTTTTTTTGAAACTATGCTTTTTTAAAAGCGACCAGCAAAACAATTGAACAATTCTTAAAATCTTTGGCGATATATAGTGATCATATAGATATATTATTCTTATAATAAAGAAGAAGAAACAAAAGCTATGTGCCTTTTCAGCGGTGAAGATTAATCATTTATACTATTTCAGTTCAAAGTCAGTTCAAGATAGCCATAATTACACGTCAGTGTGGGAGCTAAAATTATTTTTTAAAAAGCTAGTAGTTGACAAAATCGGTAAAAAGTTAAAACAGTTATAACTAGAGTTGTAACTATCAACCATAGTTATAACTTTCAACCAGAGTTATAACTACGGTTGATAGTTACAACCCAATTAACTTTTTGGCCAAAAAGTTGATCGGTTATAACCCAAAAAGTTATAACCCGAGTTATAACTACCCTAGTTTTAGGTCCCACACTGAATCGATGCAAAGTGTTGCAACTACATCATTGATAAAGATGACTCATAATCATAGTAAATTTCATTCTAGAAAAATAAGAAAATTCTGATGTTTTGTCTCATAGAGTTTTCGTAAGTACAAAATGTTTACCTGAATGAGTCATCATTGTTTGAATAAGATAGCATTTCAATGTAAAAATTGTTTGCCACGTCGACAAAAGTATTTGATTGG